CCACCCCCTCCTCATCTCCCCAACCCCATCATCTTCTCCATCACCACCATACTACCGCCAACCTTTCCACTACAAGCAGCTTCTTCCCTAACTATAGATATAAGACTACTTATTTGCCTTCCGAGGTTAAGCTCTACCTCCATCTGCATAAGGCTACTTATCGGCCTTCCGAGACTAAGCATTGTCTCCATCCTGCATAAGGTTATTTATCTGTCTTCCGAGGTTAAGCTCTACCTCCATCTGCATAAGGCTACTTATCTGCCTTCCGAGACTAAGCTCTGTCTCCATCTGCATTATCTGCATAAGGCTACTTATTTGCCTTCCGAGGTTAAACTCTACCTCCATCTGCATAAGGCTATCTATCGGCCTTCCGAGACTAAGCATTGTCTCTATCCTGCATGGCTGAATATCGCCGCTTTATTTTCCCGTACGCCTGCAATACCGCCACCTGCATTTAATTTTTGCTTTGGCTGAAAGATCGCCACCTTCTTCATTCCATTGGCTGAAAAATTGTCACCTTCTCATGGGCTGAAAGATCGCCAACCTATTCAAAGGCATCATAGTTCAGAGGTACCATCCACATAGCCCGAGAACATCATTTCATTTCCTGTGAGTCTCTATTTACGCTCTTCATGGCCCGGGACGTCATAGTCTGAGGACGTCATCCTAACCGTCCAAAGACAACATTCATGGTCCGATGGGAACTTGCATCACGTTTAATTTATACCCAATATATGTTGCAGCGCCTACTTGCAGGTACACCGACTAGCAAACGGCCGTCTCAGCGGGAGCGATCCCACTTTGGTGCTCGCAGCCTTTTAGACTTCAAACATCTTTTCCAATCTAAACATCGCGTCCGTTCTTTTCAAATCTCCATCGGCACGTTCCGTCAATGGTTCCTGAAAAACATATGGCCTGATTCCTGTAAAACTAGGGATATGTAGGCAGCTCAGAAACTAGAGCGCGGTCAAAGTTCCTTTTAATCGCCGCTTCCAGTCAAAATTGACCATCTTGTCTTTACCCGACAACTCTTTCATCCTCCTCGGGTAAAGAGGGGCAGGTGTTGATACCCAAATTTTTCCCTAAGGTATTTTTGTATCCAAAATACTTCCAAAATAGCATATATGTGCATATATAAGTACACCCAAGAGTTTTGGTATTTGTAATGATTTTTAAACCGATTTATTGCCTATTTTAATACCATAAAATCCAATAATAATTCCCAAAAATTATCATTTTTGGTGAATAATTTATTTTATCCTTATATTTACACCAAAATATAATTAAGGTGATTTTTGTACATTTTTTGCAAATTCGTTTGGCGTTTTTAAAGCTAAATTGCATATAATTGCAATTATAGCCTATTTTGTAATTGACAGCATTTTATAATTATAAAATTAACCCTAGTATTTTTAAATTAATATTTGCATAATATTTGTTCACCCAGTATCTTAATTTTCTTTTAAAATTGTTATTACTATTTTTATAAAAAATAAAGGGAAAAAGTGGCTATTTACGACCTAGCCTCAGTTACATTTCAATTGTAGCCAATTTGGCACCCCTAATTAACCCAAATTCGAGCCCAAATTACCTAGCCCAATTACCACTCCAACCCGACCCAGCACATATTCAACCGACCCAGCCCATAACCCTTTTCAATCCCGGCCGTTGATCATTTAGATCAACGGCTACCGTTGATTCTTACCTTTTTTAATCCAAAAGACCCCAAACCCTACCTCATTCCTTCAGAGATGCTGCCTTTGAATCCCTTCTTTCTCTCAACTCTCGCTCAACTCATCTCAAACCCTAACCGTCGCCTCTCACTGAAACCCTAATACATGGCTTCCCAGGCTCATCGGAGACCTATACAAGCCTCTCATGGCTTCTACGTGCTCGTTTCTGAGGTCCTATGACCAGATCTTGAAGGGTTTCAACCAATCCTTTGCTTGATGACTGTTCTCCGGTCGTCTTCAACCTTTGTCCGGCCACCCATGGCTATTCGAGTTCGACCTTCGACTCTCCTGCTTAGATCGATGGTTTTCAAAGCCTTTCTCATCACCTGAGTTTCTTACGAAACACTAATCTCTAAGGTTCCTTTGATTTTATTTCAGATCTACCCCAGATCTATGTGTGTTTTTGAACTTTCTAAGCATTTTTCTCAAAGTTTCTTTAATTTTGCTTTCAAAAATCTTTATTCTTCAACTAGGGTTTTATGTTAAGTTATTTAGAGTCTTTTCTCTGATTCTCGACATGTTTTACTGTGTTTTGCTTGTGTTGTTTTTCTATCTGAGTTAGCATGTTGAAAACCCTAATTTTTGAGATTTTGTTTGAGTTTCTTAGTCTGTTTGTTAGCATTCGTTTGATTTACCTTGTTTACACCGGATTAGTGTTGAAAACCCTAATTTTTGGGGTTTATTTGAGATTCGGATTTTGTTTTTTGTTTCACTCGTTTATCATCTCTAAACTCGACTGATTTCGAAAGCCCTAGTTCTTTGGGGTCTATTCGAGTTCCTGAGGCTTGTTTGTGCAAATCGTCTGTTTATAATTGCTCAATCTGATTCCTTTACTTCAACATCTCTTTTCCTTTATGTGATTCCCTTTAGTTCTGAGTTATTGCTATCTGTCAAACTCGACTATGTTTTCAGAAAGGGTTTTCACTCGACTCTTTGCATGCTTTTGATTTCTTTTCCTCTCCGTTACTAGATCACTGAAACCCATTTACTTGACTATTATGCTATGAATGCTTGTTGTTTCCTCTTGCCATAGCTTAGCCTCACATGTCTATTACTTGTGCACTTTATTTATATACCGAGTCCCTTCTGTGATTGATTTTCAAACTCGTGACTGATTTCAAAACTTTCCTTTGTGAAATTCTGATTTTACTCGCCTGTTAAGGGTTAGTTGATTCTCTTTCTTTGTTTGGCCTTACTGAATCCTTTCCAAATATAAGTACATTCCTGTACTTAGACCCAATCACTTACTACATGATTTTGCTGCTCCTTTTATGGTAATAACCATTCTGCTTATAGACTGATTTTCTTTCCTTATTTCAATCCTGTTAATAGCTGTTTGAGCAGTAATCCCTTGATTGAAGGGAGATACTTGTGTTAATTAATCTTGACTGTGATTATTTCCATGTTTGTGTTAGAACCTTACTTATTACCTTATTACCTACTCGTTTTCAAAACTATAAATACCTATACTCTTCTCTTTCAAAGATACGAATAGACACAGCATAAGTCACTACTTCTTCTCTCAAATACACTTAGGTTTTCTTAAAAGCATTCAAGTTTTCTCTAAACTCATAAGCTAAAGTTCTCTTCTCTGATTGTGTTTTGGCTGCAAGTATCCTGCTTTTCTTTCTGTTTACTTTCTACAACTGGTATGTCCCTTCTTGTTTAAATTCTGCCTCTCTCTTATATGTTTATACTTCAGTCTTTTCTTTGTTTGTTTTACTACTTTCTGCAAGTTTGTTATTCCTGCCTCTATATGAATCCCCATCCCTGAACCCTTTGTATATTGAGTTATGGTTCAGAAAACATGACAACACTTGATATTGTTGTTCATGTATATGGACTGGACTCCCTGAGTCTTAAACTCTTTCAATTCCTATTCCCATTCCCCTTTATGTGTATTCTGAGTCCGAGACTTTGGTCTGGCAGTGTCCTAATCACTGTCCAGACCATAGTCTGACCTTCAATAGGTCTGTGCTCTTTTTTATTGGTTGAACAGGCTTGGTCAGGGGTGTGCCAGCCTATCCTATGGCTAGGCATGACCACCAGCCTGCCATGGCACTCCCTACCCCCTCTTGCACTTACACTCATTCTTAGAAACTAAGTTTTGCCCCCCTCTTGTGAGCCTTGCCTTGGGACCCCTGAGCTCCCTCTGACTTGGACACCTGAGGGTTGGCCCTTCCGTATTGCATTGTAACTCATTTCTAATTGATATCTTGGATGTAAGCATTGCCTGGAATTCCTGAAATTCCTTGGAACTTTGAAACACCCTAGATAAAGAGAAGGCTTTGGAAATCTTGATCCCGGAAGTGGTTCAATCTCATATTGTTAGACACTAAGTTTGAATTAGGCTGCTCTGATGTAGTTGTAGTTTCTGATGTATTTTTAATTCTAGTTTGTATCTCACTGGTCTGTAATAATTTGTATAAATTCGGGGATTTAGTGAAACGTGGGAGGGGGTTTACTTTTATGCACAAATGGTAGAAACCATGCCTATAGGACTTTTATTGTTAATCTATGCAATTTCACAAGTAGAAACCATGCTTATAGGTTTTAACTTTTTAATCTCTGCAACTGTACATGTAGATACCATGCCTATAGGGATTTGCATTTCTGCATTGATAATGTCATTAGGCAAACTGTTAGGTTTAATAATAAATTGGTGTATAGATATCATGTTTATAAAGCTGTTAACGTTTGAAAGGATTTAAAATCAGTAACTCGTAGAAATCATGCCTATAGGAACTTCAAACCGGAATTGTCCCACTCGCCTAAAACAGTACTTAATCTTTTGCTAAAACAAGCAACTTTCTGCATGCTTTCTGAATTCTTAAAACTTTTCTTACACCCAGATCAGTGCATCTCTTTCCAAAACCTATTCCTTTTTTTTTTGATAAATGTTCTCAAATCAATGCATGTTACCGCTTTTTGATAATCCGACAAACATTTTCCAAGTCA